CTCCCTTCCTTCCTTCTTTCCGTCCACCTGCCAACCCACCCACCATCTCACCTGCTTCACACAACAGCCTTGGGAGGCTGCTGGCCATTGTACCAAATGTGAGCGTGAGGAAACTGAAGCCCAGAGAAGAGCCATCCAAGGACTTCCAGGATGCCCCACTGGCATGAGAATGCAGGTGTCCTCAGGGCCAATCCCATGATTTTCCACCCCATTTACTTCTTGAAGCCCTTGCCCAAGTCTCTTCTCTCTTTACCCTGCAAACGGCCCAGTTCCGTGGGCTCACAGTGATCCCTGCGGGCACACCCAGTCCTGGAACCGCCCACCCGGCTGACTGGGACTTCCAGGGCTTTCCTCAGCCTTGGGAGGAAGTGAGCCCCCTGGTGGTGGGTGGGGGAACCAAGACCCACTCACCTGCAAACTGGGGGTCCCAGCCGGGCTAGAGTCCATCTTGTAACAGTGATCAGGTGGGCTCTGGGGACACAAAGAGAAGCAGGGTGAGAGAGCTGATGTTGGGGAATTAGTGTCACCTGTCTGGGGCCTTAGGCACCGCTGCCCTCTCCACCCTTCCCCAACCCAGACGCCTGCCCGAGGTCAGCAACCCCTGCGTGGGACAAGAAATGATATCCCCTGGACCCAGCCTCTCCCATCACACGTCTCAGGAGGGAGAGGGAGGATGGTCAGCGGTGGCTCCTCCTAGGCTGAGTCTTTTCAAGGGCTGAGGACGGCCAGGGCAGCAAGATCCCTGTGAGCCAGGGCAACTCTGAATATCTGGGGTGGCCAAGGCTGGAAGGAGCCTTGCAGAGCATGAAGTCTGAACCCTTCCCCCCATTTCACTGGTGGGGAGTCTGAGGCCCAGGAAGGGACTTGCCTAGGGTCCCACAGCTCGTGAGGGGCAGGCTGGGCTCCCCTGGATCCCTGTGGACAGCCCCAGGCTGGGCTCTGTGCTGACTCTTATCTCTCTGCCACAGAGACTTCCACATAATGTCCCTGGAAGGGCAGCTGCCCTGGGGACCTTGGGCCAGAGCCATGGACAGACCCACTGACCTATGTCTATTTGAGATGAAACAGTGGAGAGTGTGACCAACGGTCTATGTGGCCAGGAGCATATGTCTTCTCTGCCCCCAGCCTGCAGGGTGGAGGAGGCCGGTATGTCCAGGTCCTGGCTCAGCGTGCCCAGGACCCCATAGCCCTATCCCTGCTTGGATGGTCAAGGCCAAGAACCGAGATCTCACCTGAGAACCCAGTTGCTCGTGCAGGCTGCTGGGCACTGTGCATACCAGGACCACAGCTTTGGCCTACTGTGGGACCTGGGTTGCAGTAGAGACCACCCGTCTTTACAAGGGGGTCCCTGGAGCAATCACCCCCTGGCCTTCTTGGGAGCTGAGAAAGTGACCACAGGGGAAACAAGGGAATGGCCCAGCCCTGTGGACCCCTGAGAGAGTGAGCCACAGAACTGCCCAGATAGGGAGTGCGGCCTGGCTTCAGCCAGTGCCCCGTATCTGTGCTCCCGCAGACAGCCCACACGCCCCCCTGGCCTGGCCCTGACAGCCCCTCTGCCAGGCCCCGGCTTCCCCAGCCCCACGTACCTGCACAGCCTGAGGAGAGGCCGCTGGGAGAACCAGTGGTTGGAGCCAGAGGATGGGCAGTGGACAAGAGAGCCTCTCTCTGTTCTCCCAACAAGGGCCGAAGTGTCTGTGCCTGGCGCCGGCCCGGCCCCGGCACCCAGCTCGGAACTCCCGGGCCGCAGCAAGGGGGCTGTTGATGTCACGCGGGAGCCAGCGGGGCTTAAGAAGGGACCGAAGACCTCTGTTCCCTCGGGGACATCGCCTCCCCCTGGGGGGTGTGGGTGGAAGGCAGTGAGCGACAGCTGCCGGAGAGCCCGGGCGACGCTGGGGCTTGTTAGAATGCGTGTGAGAGTGTGGGGCAAGGAGTGTGTGTGCAGGTGTTTCGTGCAGAAATATGTGTCAGTGTGTCTGTCTGGTGTATCAGTGAGTCCCTGTATGTCAGGGTATCTGTGCATCAGTGTGACCACGTTTGTATAATTTTGTCGGTGTGTCTGTACATCTGTGACTCTCTGTTCTCACTGTGTGGAGATGTGCTTCAATGAGTCTCTGTGTAGTGTAGCGTGTGGACATGGCAGTGTGTACCTCTATATATGTTAACATGCTGTGTGTATGTGTGTAAGTGTGAGTCTGTGTGATACCTGTGTGTGACAGTCGTCATTGTGTGTCTGTGTTCATATCAGTGTATATCAGTAAATTGTGTGTGTGTTGTGTGTGTGTGTGTGTAGGGGGCCTGTCTGTGAGGAGACATGTTCCCCAGGGCCTACCAAGGCCTGGTGCAGACCATCTAGGGCTGAAGATGAGGTTCCAGAGACCTCACTGTGGCAGCCGAGAGCCCTTTGCCTCCCAAGAACCTGCAGGTGTTTCAGAGCCCAGGTGTCTGGTTCAGTCAGCGTGGCCTTGGTCTTTGCTGAACACCTGGCCCTTTGGGCCTTTCCCGGCCGGCCCTCCAGGGATCTGGCCGCTGTCTCCAGGGCAGGGCTGGTTGGCTGTGTAACAGCCAGGAAGCAGGGTCCCGGTGGCACCCTGGTGCATGAAGGCCTTGCTGCCTGGTGCGATAATCAGGTACTCACAGGGTCCCTTCCTCTCTCTCGCGGAGGTTACATGGGGCGTTCTGGGGAATGAAGGAGTTGACAGGGCCTGACTGAGCTCCTGCCCTTCTGGAACTTTCTGTGTGGTTACCACATGCCACACCCAGATCTCTGTAGTTCACCACAGGGTGGGTATCTGTGCAGCTGGGGCCGAGGGGGTTGGTCAGGGAGAGACCCAAGCCCAGTGGCCTTGGGGGTTCTCTGTGGGCTCTGAAGTGGGGGTGTCATACAAGGAAAACCCAAGAACAGTATCAGAGCTCTCCATTTTTTAAGAACAGAAATGTTGAACCAATACACAGATGGACAGGATATCATGTTGGCAAAACAAATGCCCAGAACAAGGACATTTCTTTTCAATGACAAGACGCTGATGCAGCCTTCATTTAGGAGCACTGCTTAGAACAGGAAAACAATAATAAAGATAATAATAACCTCAGTGTCCCACAGTAGGGCACTTCAGAATACCCACCGGCTGTAATAGCGCCCTCTCTGGAACTTACATCCCTCTTGAGAGACTGTCCCACTGCTATGTTCGCTTCTCAGTTAAAGTCCTTGAAAGAGTTGTCTGGACTTAGTTCCCACTCCCCCTCCTTTTCTCTCTTGAACCCATTCCAAACAGGCTGTCATCCCAACATGCCTCCAAAAGAGTGGACCAATGACCTCCTGTGCCAGAGCCAGCGATGGATTCTTTGTCCTCATCCAAGTCAGTGTCTCTGAGGACATAACCTGTTTTTCGCAGCTGGCTTTAGGATCTCCTGGTTTCCCTCCTGCCTCGTGGATTTTGCTCTTTCTTCAGATCTTCCACTGGATTCCCCTCTTTTTTACCCTGAAACACTGGCCCAGCCTCTATCTATACTTGTTCCCCAGTTGACCACAACCAGTTTAATGGTTTTAAGTGTCGACTAAACGCCACAATTTCCAAACTCATCTCTGCAGTTCTGCTTCTCTCCTGACTCTGGCTTCTCCGACACTTCACTAGTTAGATGCCTAGAGGCGCTTCACTCTTAACGTGTCCAAAAGGAAAGTCTTGAACTGATTCCTTCCACTCTGCCCCAGACTACTCCTCCCTCCAACATCCATCTCAGTAATGGTACTACCACCTACTCAAAAGTTCAAGCCACCAACTCGGAATTCATTCTAGAAACTCTGCACCCTCATCCCTCCTCCATTTCACCATGAAATCCCATTAGACTCCACCTTCAAAATATATCCAGAAACTACTCCAACCACCCTGTCCTGAGCCACCATCATCACTTGCATGGATTATTGCCCTAGCATCCCTACTGTGTCCCTATTTCTCTTTTTTTTTTTTAATCAATTTTTATTGGAGTAGAGTTGTTTTGCAATGTCGGGTTAGTTTCTGCTCTACAGCAAAGCGAATCAGTTATATGTATACATATATCCCCTCCTTTTTGGATTTCCTTCCCATTTAGGTCAGCACAGATCATTGAGTAAAGTTCCCTGTGCTAAACAGTAGGTTCTCATTACTTATTTATTTTATACATAGTAGTATATATATGTCAATCCCAATCTCGCAATTCGTCCCACCCCCTCTTCCCTCCTTGGCATCCATAAATTTGTTCTCTACATCTGTAATTCTATTTCTGCTTTGCCAATAAGTTCATCTGTACTATTTTTCTAGATTCAGCATATAAGCGCTATTACACAATGTTTGTTTTTCTCTTTCTGACTTACTTCACTCTGTATGACACTCTCTAGGTCCATCCACGTCTCTGCAAATGACACTATATCGTTCCTTTTTATGGCTGAGTAATATTCCATTGTATATATGCCTGTGTCCCTATTTCTCTCTTGAGCCTCTAGAATCTTTCTTCACCAAAGCCAGAGTGACTCTTTAAAACTGGAAATCAGATCACGTGACTTTATTGCTCAAAAACTCCATTGTTCTTCCCACCACACTTAGGATTCAGATCCAAAGTCTTTACCACAGTCAACAAGATTCCACGTGACCCGGCTCCCATCTCCATCTCCACCTGGGTCTCCAGGCTCTCCCTCTCACTACGCTAGAACCTGTCTGGCCTTTTTGCTGTTCCTCAAACACACAGAGCGCCCTCTAGCCTCCTGTCCCTTGCACTTATGTTTCCCTCTGCTTAGAATATTCTTCCCCCAGATGTGTGCATGGCTGGCTTCCACTAACATCACAGAAGTCTCTGCTCAAGTGTCACCTGTCAGAGAGGACTTTCCTGATTGTGCATAATTGATTGTCCCAGTTTGTCTCGGACCTAGGGGTTTCCTGGGAAGTGAGACTTTCAGTGCTTAAACCAGTACAGTCCTGGGCAAACCAGGATGGTTGGCCACACCACAATACAAGTCCCACCGGTTCCCCATCCAGTGTAACACATCACTCTCTGACACCTTATCCTGCAACTCTTTAATGTTTATTTTCTGTCTTGAACTAGAACATCGGCTCTGCAAGTACAAAGACTTTTCTTGTTCACTGTTGAATCTCCAGCATCTAGATCAGAACCTGGAATATGGTTGGTGCTCAGTACCTATTTGACCAATGAATCAAGGGATGAACTGGTAAGATAAATTATAGTACATATATAAAATGGAAAATTACCCAGCTAAAAAATGGTATACAAGGGCTTCCCTGGTGGTACAGTGGTTAAGAATCCTCCTGCCAATGCAGGGGACACAGGTTCGAGCCCTGGTCCGGGAAGATCCCACATGCTGTGGAGCAACTAAACCCGTGTGCCACAGCTACTGAGCCTGTACTCTAGAGCCCGCAAGCCACAACTACTGAAGCCTGTGTGCCTAGAGCCCGTGCTCCGCAACAAGAGAAGCCACCGCGATGAGAAGCCTGCGCACTGCAATGAAGAATCGCCCCCGCTCACTACAACTAGAGAAAGCCCACAGCAACGAAGACCCAATGCAGCCAAAAATAAATAAATAAAATAAATAAATTTATTTTAAAAATGGCATACAAGCTTATGTGAATCAAAACGGGAACATACATGTGATACAACGTCAAGGCAAAAAGCAGGTTTCCAAATGGTAGGTGACCAGGAATACCATCTTTGTAAAGAAAGTAAAGACATGCACATAACCATCAAAAAAACGGCTGGAGGGACATGACCCAAGGGGACAGTGGGTTACATTCCTTTTTATCTTTGTACCACTGTGTAAAAATTCTCAAAGTGTTGCTGTTCACTTAGCTACTAAGTCCTGGTGGGAGCTTTGACATGCTTGCTGCCCCCAAACACACTCTCCCATCATCTTGACAGTGACTCCCACACCTGAGCAAACTCTCAGCATCTTTCTCTCCTGGTACCACTACCCTCTGATTTTTCTGGCCAGAGGCTGAATGAACATCGATACTTTCCCCCCGACTCTTCAGACCTACAGAGACCCCTGCAAACTCCTGGTGGGGGGTAGTCCAAGCTCCTCTGTGAACCCTCCAGTCTGCTCCTCCCCCTAACTTGCCCCAGCCTAGACTTGCATCTCTCTGCCCCATCACTACACTCACCTGCCCCATCTCCCTGGACCTGCTGAATGCGGTGGGAGTGCGGGTGGTGTCACACAGCTCCATCTTCTTGGAACACTCCCCTGACCAATCTGGTCTGCTCAGCTAACCTTTGCAACCTGTCCTCGCTCGCCTTCCCCAGAAGCCCCGCCAGACCACCCCCAGTGCCATGAACCCTAGCTCCCTTCCTTGGGTTCACTTCTGTTATTACACTGTCTTCACTCTACTGTCATTTATTCCTTTACAAGCCTGCCTGCCCAGTGCCTAGCAATGACATACCAATGACAGTGCACACCAACTGGGTCTTATTTTGTTCCTGCAGTGCCACGGGTTAGGAACTATCATCACTGCTGTTTTAAAGAGGAGGAAACAGGCATGGAGAGGCGAAGTGACTTGACTGAGACATCTAGGTAGTAAATGATATAACTGGGTTTTGAACCCAGGCAGTCTGACTCCACAGCCCGTGGCCTGGAATTTCAGCAAGAAGTTAGGAATTTAGGAAAGAGAGGAAGGAAGTGAGTGGGAAGGAAGTTCAGATTAAATGGGTTAGTTAGGAAGGAAGAAAATTAGGCAGCTGAGAAGGCAGAGAATTAGTTGAGAGGGAAGGAAGGAAAGGAGCAAAGAAGGGATGGAGGGGGACTTCCCCGGCAGTCCAGTGGTTAAGACTCTGCGCTTCCACTGCAGGGGCTGTGGGTTCAACCTCTGGTCAGGGAACTAAAGATCCCACAAAAAAAAAAAAAAAAAAAAAAGAAGAAGAAAAAAAAGGAAGGGAGGAGGGAAATGATAGAAAAAATGAAGGAAGGGAGTTAGCAAGGAGGGTGTTAGGAAGGAAGGAAGTCCATAGGGTAGTTAGAAAGGAAATTAGCTAGGTAACTAGCTCCCCAGTTTGGTAGACCAACAGGCCGGCAGGCAGGTGCCCTGCTCACGGCTGAGCCGCTCACCTGAGAAGGCTGGATCCCAGCTCAGGACCTGGGCAGCAGTCCCGTGCCCAGCTCTGCCTTCCGGCCTCTCTGCATGGTCCCTCTGACCTGAAACCCAACCCTGACTTGCCGAACAACCTTCCCGGTCAAGAGTGACCTGTCACCCACTCGCTCAGGCTCCCAAACCAGCTGAAGTTCAACCTCCCAGCCCTGCTCGCTGGGAACCGGCTGCAGGGCTTTCCAGTTACTAATTAACCGCTGGACCTGAATCACGATGCTGGCTGCTCCCACTGGCTCCTCCACGGGGCCCTGCCCTCGGGACCCTTTTGAAAAAGGTACAGCACAGCTTAAGTTGTGTGACCTTGGGCAAGCGACTCCAGCTCCCTGAGCCTCATGTGAATCGGTGATGACGGTGTGTGTTCTGCCTTACAGGGAGGAGCTCTGAAGTCCCTTTAACACTGTCACATTTCACTCTCTGCAATCTTCCCTCCGCCCCCCTCCACCGACCCCCACCTCCAATTCCAGCTCAGATGCTGACTCTCCCACATAGCCTTCCCTGATTCCATCAGCGGAGTCACTTTCCCTTTCTCTTAGAGCCTGGAGAACTGACCATGGAAAAAGGGCTTGTCTTGCACAGCTCTCCCTGATGGGGACGACCCGCCTCTGGGATTAGCCCAATCGTGGATCCATCCTGGGAGGGGCAGCTCATTCCCTCCGGGGAGCCAGCCTCATCACCTGATACCTCTGGCACTCTCTTGTGTTGAGCCAAAGCTGGGGCCCAGAGCTCACCTGGTCTTGCACTGCCTGGGCACCATCCTGGGCGGAGAACCATGGCTGAGCTGAGACCCATAGGCCCCGCTCGGCTTTTTGGAGAACTGAGGCCCAGGCACCAGGGCTCAGCTCGCCCCAGGCTTTCTCCTGCTTGATCTGAAGCTGCCCAGACCAAGGGTTCTAACTCAGGGCAGGCGTAGGGCCTGGCCTGCTGGACAGGTGAGAAAACTTCCACCCAGTGCCCCCTTCTTAGCAGGCAACTCAAGAGTCTGACTGCCATGCTGCCTCCTTCGCTGCCTTTTTATTAAAATGTCAACAATTTCCCAGTCATTCTAGTGCCTTAGAAACTGGCTGCTCTAATGTGCTCTGGAGGAACCCTGCACACCTCATTCCCAGCCTCCGCCAACACACAGCGGCAGGTGTCTGGCTCCTGCCCCGAGAGAAGTGGCGGCTGGCCAAGAGCACCAAGCAAACCAGGGCAGAGCCCCGGGTCCTGCCCCTTTCGGGACAGAGCTGCCCCTGCTCTGCCAAGCTCCTCCTCCCCTACATCCCTCCTCCCACACACTCACAAAGCCAGTTAAAAAAAAACAAACAACCCACATAATGGTGTTGCATAAACTGTAGGAAAGAATTCCAACATACCGCAGACTTTGAAATAAACAGTGAAAGCTTCCCCTCCAACCCGCCTTCAATCTCATTGCCAGGGGTAACTGCTGTTAACAAAACGGTGATTCTCCTTCCAGACTTTTGTCTGCTCCCTCACCTACATATCGCATCCATTTTCCCCCCAGAAAAATGGGCCGTACTATACACATTGCTCAGCAACTCATCTTCTTGCCCTCACACACAGCTTTCCATGTCAACACATAAAACATTTTAAAACACATCTGTATCGCATTGTACACTGTGGGATTAATTTCCCATTCCTATTTCCTATTCACTGTTCCTTTGCTGATGGACATTCAAACCGTTACCAAAATCACAGTAATTCTAAGCGAGGCCGCAGAGAACATCTTTGTGTTAATATCCTGTGACCTTGGGCAAGTGTTTCTGTCTGATAAACTCCTGCAAGTGGGAGTGCTGGGTTAATTTTGACCTATCTACCAAATTACCGTAACGAGCTGTGCCAAATGACATGGCTATCGGCAGTGCTTAAACTTGCCCTTTCCCCTCAAAACGCTGCAGAAAATAGCCAAGGCCACCCCTACCCTGAGGCCACTGCAGTAAGGCAATCCCTTCCCATCTTCATCTTCCTTCTTCTTTCCCCTTCCAATCTCCCTGTCTCTTCTCTCTCAGCTGGCTGGATTCTGTAGTTTGGGTGTGAAGGTCAAAGATTTGTTCTCAGGGATGAGAAGGGGAAACGAGAGCCTGAACCAATAGGAACCCACCTCCAGGAATATTCCCTCCACCTTGACATTCCTCAGCCCACTTATCTGTGCTTTATCTAGCCCCCTGTCCCTACTCCCACCAATACCCCACACTTGCACACACCCTCTCACACCTGCAGATTCATCCATAGGCAGAGGGGAATAACAGGCATTGGACTGAAAAACCTGTTACCCATGTGGGCTGGGCGCAGGACGCTTGAGCCAACATCGTTCACACACAGGCCAGAGATGAGCCCCCCAGTTTTCTCTTAGGAAAAAAGATTTTTAGAAAGTGATAAATGTACAAAATTTTAAAAATCAAGCTGGACTATGAGGTGGATAATGAAAAACTTGAGTTCCTTGTCTCATTCCTCATCGACAAGGAACACACTTCAGCTGCTTCCTTTGGTAATCACCTCCACGTGTCTAAATAGCATGATTATACTGCGATTCCTCCATCTGTCATTTTTAGAAATTCTTAAGTGGCTTCCTTCTTTTTCTTTTGCTTTTTTTAACACCTTTATTGGAGTATAATTGCTTTAAAATGCTGTGTTAGTTTCTGCTTTATAACATAGTGGATCAGCTCTACGTAGACATATGTTCCCATATCTCCTCCCTCTTGCGTCTCCCTCCCACCCTCCCTATCCCACCCCTCTAGGTGGTCACACAGCACTGAGCTGATCTCCCTGTGCTATGAGGCTTCTTCCCACTAGCTATCTATTTTACATTTGGTAGTGTATATATGTCCATGCCACTCTCTCACTTCCTTCTTACAATATTTAGATCTCGCTCATCCAAATACACACTTCTGCTTTTCCTAAAGTTAATTAGTAATTGCCTCATTCGATGGCTTGAGATATTGAACATATACCTCTGCATACATACACACACGTATATAAATTCTCTCTCAAACTCTCTAATACAGTTGAAAATAGCCTCCTAATACAATAATATATCGATTTCAGTTTGTTTGGCTGTTTTTTTCTCAACCTTCCTGGAGACTTTCATCCTTCTGTTCTCATCTGGGCAGCTGCTCAGTTGTCAGCTTGGCCCTCCCTTTCCCATCACTCTGGAAATTCCCTTTGTCCCTCTCCTTTTTTAAAAAATTAAATTAAATTACATTTTTTTGGCCCGACCAGGGATCAAACCTGTGCCCCCTGCAGTGGAAGCACAGAGTCTTAACCACTGGACAACCAGGGAAGTCCCCTTTTTGTCCCTCTCCTGTTGGAGGTCCTATTTCCTGGATCTTATGTTGTCCTCTTTTTTTTTTTAAACATCTTTATTGGAGTATAATTGCTTTACAATGGTGTGTTAGTTTCTGCTGTGTAACAAAGTGAATCAGCTATACATATACATATATCCCCGTATCTCCTCTCTCTTGCGTCTCCCTCCCATCCTCCCTATCCCACCCGTCTAGGTGGTCACAAAGCACCGAGCTGATCTCCCTGTGCTATGCGGCTGCTTCCCACTAGCTATCTGTTTTACGTTTGGTAGTGTATATATGTCCATGCCACTCTCTCACTTCGTCCCAGCTCACCCTTCCCCCTCCCCGTGTCCTCAAGTCCACTCTCTACGTCTGCGTCTTTATTCCTGTCCTGCCCCTAGGTTCTTCAGAACCTTTTTTTTTTTTTTAGATTCCATATATATGTGTTAGCATATGGTATTTATTTTTCTCTCTCTGTGTCCTCTTTTTTTTTTAATCTTTAAAATTGTGGTCCAATCTATATAAATAAAATTTGCCATTTTAACCATTATGAAGTGGACAATTCAGTACCATTAAGTCCTTTCACAGTGTTGTACAACCACCATCATTATCGATTTCCAAAACTTTTTCATCACCGCAAAGAGAAACTCTGTAGCTATGAAGCAGTAACTCCCAATTCCCCCTTCACCACAGCCCCTGGTAACCTCTAATCTACTCTCTGTCTCTATTGCCTATTCTAGATACTTCATATAAGTGGAATCATACAATATTTGTCCTTTTGTACCTGGCTTATATTACTTAGCAAAATGTTCATCCATGTTGCTTAGCCCATTTTATGGTTGGATAATATTCCACTGTATGGATGGATATACCAGTTTTTGTCTACCTGTTCATCTATATTTTGTCTACCTATTCATCTATCAGTGGACACTTGGGCTGTTTCTACCTTTTGGCCATTGTGAATAATGCTCCAATGAACACTGGCATACAAAAATCCATTTTCAAATCTTTTAGGTGTATATACTTAGCAGTGAAATTGCTGGGTAATATGGTAATTCTGTATTTAGCTTTTTGAACCAAACCAAACTTCTCCTTGAAGAGCCAGAGTTTTCATGGTGGCTGCACCATTTTACATTCCAACCAGCAGTTTCTCCCCATCCTTGCCAACAATTATTATTTTTCTTTTTTTTTTTTTTTCGATTAAGGCATCCTAGTGAATGTGACATGGTATCTCATTGTGTTTTTTTTTTTTTTTTTTTTTTCTTTTTTCCCGCGGTATGCGGGCCTCTCACTGTTGTGGCCTCTCCCGTTGCGGAGCACTGGCTCCGGACACGCAGGCTCAGCGGACATGGCTCACAGGACCAGCCGCGCTGCGGCACGCGGGATCTTCCCGGACCGGGGCACGAACCCACGTCCCCTGCATCGGCAGGCGGACTCTCAACCACTGCGCCACCAGGGAAGCCCTCTCATTGTGGTTTTGATTTGTATTTTTCCAATGACTAATGATGTTGAACATCTTCCCATGTGTTTATTAGCCATTTGTGTCAATGTATCTTCTTTGGAGAAATGTCTAGTCAAGTCCTCTGCCACTTTTTATTTGGGTTGCTTGTCTTTTTGTTGTTTAGTTTTAGGAATTCTTTATATATTCTGGATATTAAACTATTGTCAGATATAAAATTTGCACCTATTCTCTCCCTGCAGGATTTCTTCTCACTTTTGTGATAATGTCCTTTGATAGAAAAATGTTTTTAATTTTTAAAAATAAATTTATTTATTTATTTATTTATTTTTGGCTGTGTTGGGTCTTTGTTGCTGTGCACGGGCTTCCTCTAGTTGCGGCGAG